TTCATAAGCGCCACCTATTCCATAACACACGTGGGTCGCTAGGTGATAATCCAGGCTTAATTGCACTTACTGCCCAACATATTATGTTCTAGTTGCCTGAAGTTTTGCAGTAAAAACATTGATTTTACTTTGCAGTCAAGGATTGTGTGCCTTGATAAGCTGAATCTAATTTTTATATATCTGTTGTCTTTACTAAAATGTCTCAGTATCACTTTAGAGAGAATAAAATGTACATGGCTACCATCTGTAAGATTAAAGGACCACATGCACTTTAACGCTATGAATTGTATTTTGCTCAATATATGATGGTGGGGTAAACGGCTGCTTTGTCTGTTTTGTCCTCCATGTTGGGTGAGGAGAAAAATTTACTTTAGATAAGTATATATTTTAATCTATACACTTGCTGGTGATAGCATAATCACATTGTATAGATTATATATATATTTACCTCAATAAACTTGTCACCTAATCGATTTTTGAGTTTACATTTTTGTATGTTGTTTTTGGTTTGTTTACATGAAATTTTATGATTCTCTCCAGGTCATTTGAAGGCATTTTGTATAAAAGGGGAGCTTTGCTTAAAGGATGGAAACCTCGTTGGTTTGTTTTGGATGTTACAAAGCACCAGGTAAATGCAGCTTGCCAGCAGCTGCACTGGGACAAGAAGAGCCTTGTCTGTGGCTGCCCTGGGTTTGAATAGGGGTTGCCCTTAGTTACAATAGGATAGGAGGCAAATCATTAGATGGGAGTCAACTAGGCTCTGTTGGCATGGGAGGCAGGTTGGGTGCAATGGTAGAAGAGGTAGGTTGGGTGCAATGGTAGAAGAGGTAGGTTGGGTGCAATGGTAGAAGAGGTAGGTTGGGTGCAATGGTAGAAGAGATAGGGTGGGTGCAATGGTAGGGTGTGTAGGGTGGGTGCAATGGTAGGGTGTGTAGTTTGGGTGCAATGGTAGATGAGGTAGGTTGGGTGCAATGGTAGATGAGGTAGGTTGGGGGCAATGGTAGGGTGTGTAGTTTGGGTGCAATGGTAGATGAGGTAGGTTGGGTGCAATGGTAGATGAGGTAGGTTGGGGGCAATGGTAGATGAGGTAGGTTGGGGGCAATGGTAGATCAGGCAGGCTGGCTGTGATGGAGGCAGACTTCCTTTAACTGCGTATATTCTTTGCTTTGCAGCTTCGATACTACGACTCTGGTGAAGACACCAGCTGTAAGGGACACATAGATTTAGCAGATGTGGAAACAGTTGTACCAGCTGGGCCAACTATAGGTGTGCCAAAACATGTGAACGAGAAAGCATTCTTTGATGTAAGTATTAGTTGAGCCGGAATAATCTTTTATAGTTTATAGGAACCAACATATTGCTTTAAATATAGAAGAGATTGTGTTTATTAAATACTAAATTCAGACACTGGTTCTACAGGTGTAATGAGAATTCCATGTCTATATTTATTCCGTCAGTGTGTTACTTTATTAACGATCTTTAGTACTGTAAATGGCGACGGAGCGCAGGCTCGGTGTTGTGAAATCTTCCTTTACCCAGAGATGGTAATTGGAAGCAGACATTCAAACCATGTCAGGGGTCTGTACAAAGAAGGGAAGGGCCCCAGATTCCAGTGCATGACATCTCGCTCTAAACACGCTAAACATGGATAAGGAAGAAATAGCCTTGGAAACTCATACAAGATGCAGTTTAATGGTTTGCCGTCCACCTCACCCCGTGTCATGTTTCCATATTGTGTAATAACATAGAATTTATGGAACTGATCACAACATTAGCTTGCATTGTGAGCATGCTATGCTGAATTCACTAAAAAGGCCCCTTACAGCAGGGGGCGAATGACAGACATCAAAAAAGTCCTATACTTTGCAGTAATTCATATTGTCTGCTGCTTGCACCTCTATTTGGCGTCTGCGAGGCTATTGATTGCAAAAGCCAAGGAACAAAACCCCAGTATGACATAATGAAACACAGTAATGCATAGTACTATCTTGTGATGCTTGTGTGTATTTTATAGACCATGGTTTTTATAGAATGTAGGAGACTTGTCTTCAGGTAAAAAGGTGCTTTTATTGCTGCAACCACAGAGATGCAACAGTATTCGTATCCTTACTCATGTCTGTAGAAGACACCTGCATATGGAAAACCTCCAAACACTGTTAATACAAAGTAGCGTTTGTTCTGGATGTTATTTTCCGTGTCAGACTAAAGCTTACCTTCTTTCCTTTTGTACAAAAGGTGAAAACCAGCAAGCGAGTGTACAATTTCTGTGCTCAGGACGCACAGAGCGCACAACAGTGGATGGACAAGATACAGAGTTGTATATCGGACGCGTAGAAATCTTTCAACAATGCAGCAGAAAGGAGCAGTTTGTGTTCCTTCTAATTAAAGAGCAGTTTATTTCAGGTAACACCTCTCCCATGCAAAACACTACTAAAGCGGACGGCTTACACCCTGCTACCTGCACAGTGTAAGGGAAAGTGCCACTAAGTATTATTGCATTGCGGTGCTCTCTCTGGAACTTTCTGGCCTTTGAACCATTCCCATGATGTTTACTTCTGTGGCGTTTGTACGTGATTTAGGACTTTAAGGAAATGTGGAAATTTAATAAGGATTCTAAGTATGGAGTGCGATCGATCGGAAACTGGCAGGTTTGACGTGTTTACAAAACAGTTCTGTATATTTATTCCTTGATTTTATTCTATGTTTGCATCCATTACGGGGAGGGGGGGTGAAGTACAGTTAAAACATTTTTTAAAATTTTTTATTGCAACTGTACCGTAAGAATAGCGAATCAGATCAACACAGGAATTATCATTCGACACACTACTCCTAGCACTTGCACTTACAACAATGAACCACAGTCATCTCTACCCAGGGAAATTCCCTAACTATATTTCACTATGTACAGAAATTGTGTAAAATGTGAAGTGATTGATCTCTTAAATGAATTCCTTCGATCGATATATATATATATATATATATATATATATATATATATATATATATATAACATTTTATCCAGGACACTGGATACATTTATGTTTTTTTACCCTTTACGTATCAGAGGAGTGAGCAATGGTTTTCGGTATTAAAGATCCCTCTGCAACTTTAAAGGGTTAAACGAGGGATATTTACAGCCAAAATGTAGGCGGCCACGCGCAGTGTTCAGAACGGCGTCATTCATTTGCCGATAGGATTTTAAACACATGATCACGTGGTTGCCATCTGTCTCCAGGTTTGTACTGTATATAAATAATTTTGTAATGTTTTCAGATTAAAACTATGCTTGTAATTTAACAAAAGAACCTCTCTTGGTGACAAAGGCGTTGCAGCTTCCTCCAGCAGTTATTTTGTGTTAAATTAACCAAAACTCACTTTGTAACTGACAACCACTTTTTATTTGTTTAATTTCCCTAAAGCCACACTATCTCGCTGCGCAGAACTCTTCAAATTGGAGAAAAAAATGCTGCCCAGTAGGAAAAAGTTTTTTTGTTTTGTTTTTTTATTATTATTTGAAATGAAGGCACATGTCAGATTTAGTCTTGAGTCTAAGTTGTCACAGGTGAAAAGTCACACTTTGCACATTTATATTTTTCTTTGTAAATGAAGTACTTTTCTAAACGTACTTTGTAAAATACGGAACCCATTGCTCATTAGATTGCGTTGAAGAAAAAAATGTAAACACTTTATTTTTTAACTGGTTTTAACAATTTTATGTATTTGTTATACGTATAAAGCCATCTCTTGTAATAAATATATTGCTGTAAATAAATCAATGCAGTGAACATGCGCCCAGTTTTTATTACAGAATTATCTGTTTATTCTACTATATACACACATGAACACGTTGTAGAACTTCTTGTCTCTGCTTGCAAACAGGTGGATTATTGAGAATGGTTGTGGCGAATTGTGGTTGCAAAGGCTCTGTGCTCCTGCCAGCCTCCATATTAAACTTTCGGGTTTCTGTAGTTGCCTGTTGGAGTAATGTGATTGGCTGATTAACACAGCGCATGGAAAGCAGCCTCCATTGAGAGCTCAGCCACGCTAGAGAAGCTGGGGAGGGTTGTTTTGGAGTTGTGCATGAATGGGAGTATGAATATGTGTACCTCTGGCAGTATGGATCTCTGGCCCCCCACAAGATGCTACAACGTAGGGCCCCAGTCAAATTGGCTTTGAAACTCCTGCTGTGTGGCATCTGCAAAGGACGGAAAGAATCCCAGCTCCTGTGGTTCTGAAACTGTCAGCGTCTGGTAAAAATGATCTAACAAGGCATTTTCGCATTAAATACTAGGATTGTTTACAAAAGAAAGTTTAAGATTAATAGGAGAAATGCCACTACGCCAGTGAATAAAACATTGATAATCTCCTGTAACTTGTGTAAAGGCGTTTTTTTTTTGTTTTTTTTTCACGCTCTGTTTTTTATTAAATCTATTTAGAAGATTTAGAAATTGCCTTCTCAGTACAGTTCCACTAAATTGGGGGAGAAAGACATCTTCAGCTCGATTTACTAAAGATGTTTATTTATTATGAGTGTGCTATTGTTTGTTTTTGGGGTGTCAAAATTGCTATCTACTAACTGCCGTAACTTTGCTGTTATGGAGTGCTCGTTCGCCAGATAGATTTACTAATGGAGAGTGAGCAATTCAAAGGAAACCACAGAAGCTGCAACATTATTTGGTATTTAATTGCATAAGTAATATACCTAGTGAAAACGGGTGTACGGTTGAAGTTGCATTTCTACATTTAAAGGAACACTGTAGGGTCAGGAACACAAACATGTATTCCTGACCCTATAGTGCTAAAACCACCATCTAGCTCCCGTGGCCCCTCCTTGCCTCCCTAAATATAGTAAAATCTTATTTCTGTTCAAGTCTCCAGCTCCTGGCTCTGCCCCGATATGCCTGCTTGGCTGACATCATCAGAATTTATTTTCTGAGCCAATCGCAATGCTTTCCCATAGGATTGGCTGACACTGTCAAGGAGGCGGATCAGGGGCAGAGCCAACACAAGTCAAACACAACCCTGGCAAATAAGCATCTCCTCATAGAGGTGCATAAAATCAATGCATCTCTATGAGGAAAGTTCAGTGTCTCCATGCAGAGGGTGGAGACACTGAATGCCTGCACAGTGTGCAGCACTTCCACAGTAAGCACCTCTGCTAGCCAGTGGAGGTTTTCCTAGGCTTTAATATAAACACAGAGGAGTGGCCAGTGGAGGTGTTCCTAGGCTGTAATGTAAACACAGAGGAGTGGCCAGTGGAGGTGTTCCTAAGCTGTAATGTAAACACAGAGGAGTGGCCAGTGGAGGTGTTCCTAGGCTGTAATGTAAACACAGAGTGGCGGCCAGTGGAGGTGTTCCTAGGCTGTAATGTAAATACAGAGGAGTGGCCAGTGGAGGTGTTCCTAGGCTGTAGTATAAACATAGAGGAGTGGCCAGTGGAGGTGTTCTTAGGCTGTAATGTTAACACAGAGGATTGGCCAGTGGAGGTGTTTCTAGGCTGTAATGTAAACCCAGAGGGGTGTCCAGTGGAGGAGTTCCTAGGCTGTAATGTAAACACAGAGGAGTGTCCAGTGGAGGTGTTTCTCGGCTGTAATGTAAACACAGAGGGGTGTCCAGTGGAGGTGTTCCTAGGCTGTAATGTAAACACAGAGGAGTGTCCAGTGGAGGTGTTTCTCGGCTGTAATGTAAACACAGAGGGGTGTCCAGTGGAGGTGTTCCTAGGCTGTAATGTAAACACAGAGGAGTGTCCAGTGGAGGTGTTTCTCAGCTGTAATGTAAACACAGAGGGGTGTCCAGTGGAGGTGTTCCTAGGCTGTAATGTAAACACAGAGGAGTGTCCAGTGGAGGTGTTTCTCGGCTGTAATGTAAACACAGAGGGGTGTCCAGTGGAGGTGTTCCTAGGCTGTAATGTAAACACGAAGGAAAAAGCAGAAAATAATCCCTCCCTTAGGCAGGGACTATGGAGTGTGTCCTGAAAATATCCAGACAGGGGGTAACCCTAAATATTGACTTGCAAAAGAAAAAGTGATCATAGGGCAGAAATGTCCAGGATACACAAATAGGATATTTCAGAGTTTTCTATTACTGCTAAAAACCATAAGTTTATTAGTCATCATAAGCAAAAACGAACCAAAAATAATAAAAAACCCACTACCCCAAAAATAAATACACGAAGAGGAAATAATGAAGCTCAGTAGGCTTGGAAGGGGAGGCCAAATAAAGTGGCAATACCAAAAGGTTAGATACTCCTATATGGCATATACGCCACCTATAGATGGAATATGAATAGCTATAGAAACTATATTGGAGACTGGATAGATCTCCAAATGCCCCAAGTGTAAAGCCAATCAGTTATAAAGTCCTAGAACTGGTAATGCAAATATGCACCGAACAGACATTCAGCTAAACACTCTAGTCCCATTGACTCAGATATAACAAATCTCCTGGCATAAAATAGTGAAAGGCTAATTCCAAGTGATTGTCCACACTAAACTTATGCACATATTGTGCTAAGAGCTATCCATTACTAATTATGTTTATAGGAAGGCCACTAAGTACTGTGGATAGCTCTTAGCACAAAATGTGCATAAGTTTAATGTGGACAATCACTTGACATTAGCTGTTCACTATTTTAGGGGGGTGGCAGGTGTTTGTAGAGGGGACAGTGGTTTTGTGGGGGGAGCAGGGCTTTGTAGAGGGGGCAGGAGTTTTGTGGGGGGAGCAGGGATTTTTTAGGGACCTGGACAAGAGGGTATGTGGGGGGAGCAGGGATTTATAGAGGATGGCAGGGGTTTGTAGAGTGGATCATGGCTATGTAGGGGGTGGTAGGAGTTTTGTGGGGGAAGCATGGATTTGTGTGGGGGGGCGGGCTGGTTTTTCTTTTTAGAGACGGGGGCCGGAAGGTTTGTAGAAGGAAGGGGGGGCAGCAGACTTTCATTCATAATGTATTTTGCTACATAAACATATATTGTCAAAATTCACTTATACATATATATAAAAATTCTTGAAAACATAAAAAAAGACGATTGCGGGTGTTTCTTTACATTTTAAAGGGGGGGGGGGTGCCCAATACTCTAGGTTTGCCTCTGGTGTGCCTACCTTCTTAATTATATTGCAGTGCTATATAAATAAATATATACCCACACACACTGTATATCTATTGCGTTCATTGAACCTGACTCTACTATAATATAACCTGTAAAGTGCAAAGTACACCTGTTAATCCAGGGATTGTTGCTATTAGCCCCCAATTTAATGGTACTCATTTTATCTGCCTCGGAGGATGAAGGGTTGAGTCGACCCTGCCGGGATTTGAACCTGCGACCCAATGATTGAACATTTGCCTACAGAGCTATCTCACCGGCTCTAACTAAAATATACATACACTGTGTACCTACTGCACTTACTGTATCTCCCTTTACTGTAATATAACCTGTAAAGTGCTGAGTACACCTGTTAGGATACCAATAAAATGTACATACAGTACAAAACCTCTGTTAAGTTTAATTATCCATCCCCTCACATGAAGTGAAGTTATCTTTGAGCTGTTCAATATGCTGTCTGACTCATTATCCTTATATTGAGCATAACATTACATCACTTTCTATTCCGTTTAATATCCCACTATTTTTTCCTCTTTGTGTGTGTGCGAGCGGGCGCGTATTCTCATTAAATGCTGTAATTGTAATATCTCTCAGTGGTAACAGGTGTAAATCCAAAAATAGAAAGCTTTTTCCCCCTGCCGTTTCAGCGTGCAGTCGCCAGGAGTATGACCAATTCCAGAAATATGGTCAAATTAGCTCATTCTTTCAACATCTGCTGCAGCGAAGTATTGGGTTCGGAAGAGGCTTGAGTTAAGAACGAGTTGTCCTTTTGGAGGTAACAGATGGAATGAGACTGGCCTGATGGAACAATTAGAATTTCGGTGAAGTGAAGCTCCCAAGGAGGATATACCCATCAAATTCCCAATTCCCAGATTAGAAACTGCACTTCGTTTTATATGGAGTGAGTCAAAAGAGAACAAACATTGGAAATTAAAAACGTTTTGGATTAAAGGAAAATCAGTTTGTAAATGTGTAAAATGTGGTGGTACCACTCCAGAAAGGATCATTTGTATAGAGAGAACATAATCCCCAGCGCTGTACAACAGATTTAAAAAAAAAAAAAACCTGTCACTGCATGTGATAAAAAAAACTTGCTTACATTCTAAGAAATTGGAAATAAAAAATATATATATTTAAATAGAATAGAACTAAATATGTTCATTTCATTTAAACTAAATGCTTTGGCCTATTTTAGGTATTTGGTGTGAAAATGGTATCTTTTTCATTTTCTGAACAACATTATAGATGTTGAGCCAATTATTGCTTCCTTGAGAACAGGGGACAATGCACCATCGGAAAAGTCCAGGACAGTCCGTCTTTCCTGCACAATGGACATCTGAGAACTATGTCAAATAAACCTAGCGGTAAGTGTAAAACATTGCCTAGCCCCCCTCCCCCCCTAACATAATATCTGCATGTTATAAGTGCATGTTACATCGAAACTGTAGCCATATATGTGCCTTGGTATATTAAAAATGGGTTTCGACTTTAAATCCTGGCAAAATTCGTTGTTCTTAGGGTTTCTTTGTTTATGTACTGCATTATGCATTTCAGGAGAAATTGTCTTACATACATAAAAAAAAAATGCAAAACATTACAGAACATCACCCAATGTGTTTTTTTTTTTGTTTTGTTTTTTTAATATTAACTTTGCCCTTTTATTATAGTTGATAGCGCACTTCACAGAAAGATATTCAGGTCCTGAAACTTTGACAGTTACTAGCTTGCACATGTAACAAATTAAAAAGTCCTCAGAGCTGTTGAAGAGTTGATCGTAGGAAAGTCCTTCAGCTGATATAGAACAGAGGGTGCTCTACGAGGGACATCATATGTACCTGTAATACTCATTAAACGGTGTAGACATGAGATTTAGGTACTTTGTAGGATTGGCAGGCTATATGGCACAATTACCCATTTTTTTCTGGGACAGTCTACATTTTGGGAGAGATACCTGGGTATTAGAACCCAACATTCCTTTGATACTGTTCCAAACTAACTGTCCCTAACATCTTTGACCTATCATTACATCCTCTGCCTCGTCTCCAATGAGAAACCGTCCAGTGCATGTTTCGAGGAGGCTGAATACAGGTAACTGGTAACGTCGCCTGGAGAAAGGTAGACCTTATCAAATCAACTTAAAAACAACATTGCTCTGACTTTAAATGTAGACGAAGATTGTGTGTGCATTCCCAGTTCCTGTAGTATTGCTGGTATTCTCCACAACATTTCTTGAGTTTCGTTGTAGCCAGAAAGTTGTCACTGATCAGCATTTTCGTTTTGTATGGCCAAATACCTGTCAGCGGAAGGAGACACTGTACAGAATATATTGGCTGCTGCTTTTTTTAATGACTTTCCCACGGATTAGGTAACATGCGCAGAGCTTTATGTGCTAAACATTGTAACTAAAATTAGTGACAAAACAAAGAAGCAATGTAGTTTGGCATCTGAACATGATTGACATCGTAGTATTAAACATTGCCAATCAAAGAATCTGGGAAAGCAATGCATTTTTAATCTGAAACATCTAGAGCAATGTACTTTGTCTTGTAGACTGAACCTAATGAGATATTTTCGATATTTTTATCCTGGGCTCCAAATAGGGTTTTATTCCCCGTCTGCAAGGTCAAAGTTTAGAGTATTTTAAGGGCAATGATTTGCTGTAGTATAAAGGCCAAAATCACAGATCGGCATGCTATCAAACTTCATCCCGTCTGTGACCTAATACCGTATATTGTAAAAGACCACGGAACATGTTGTGGAACTATGGTTGGCTACTATGTAAATAATGAGAACGCAGAGAGTTTAAATGAAGTGGGAAGCAAACTGAATGGCAGTTGGTGTCTCCCAGCGTTTCTTGTGCAGACAGAAACGTCTGATGAAGATTCCTCTGTAAACATTGCCGTTTTTTGTCTTTTCCTGGTCCCATCTATCAGAAATCGTGAATTGTATTTAGGTCTGTTTGTAAAACTATGTTTTATTTTGATTCGTGATAACAAGGTTTCAAAAGATCAAGAGGAATTAAACTTTATCAATCAGAATATCTTATTTAAAATCAGACAATCTTTGTAATGTCTCAAACATAAATCTTATCGGTTCTGTTATTCCATAGCTGGCGATATTTGGAGGCTGTTTGCTGG